TCTGGTCACAAAGGCTGACTGTATTCAGTGGTCTGGGAGGACAGTTACATTAAGTAGAATAGCAAATGGAGTTATCAAAAGTCCTAACCATGCTGGTTGCATTCTGTTCTAATGATATGAACCTAGCTGAAGATGTTAGCTATTTTTTCAAAAGTGCCAAAGTAATTCAGCATTCTATTGCTCTTCCTAAGTGAAAACTCTCCTTAATATTCAAATTTGCATTTGCAAATAATGGCAGTTTCCTAAATGAGTTCATGTTGGCCATTTTTACTAGGTGGCTAGTCCCACGAGCACACAGTGTTTCACATACAAAGCAGAAGAGATTTCTTCACTCTCAAAAGCTTAAAAATTCATGAAGCTGCACAACAAGAGATGTACTCAAACTCCGGGAACAGGGTGAGGGAAAGGCCAGTGAGTGTGTTTCAGAGGCAGGCTGAATCTAGAAGTCACCAACACATTTATCTTCAGGATGATATTTCTGTGCCACCATCTTTTCTGTTCTGTTGTTTTCCTCAAGCACATACAGAGAAAGAAAGTACATGATCACCTGAACTCTGAAATAACAAGTGCTGTTGCTCCCCGCTGGCTCCATCCTTGCACTTTCACAGAGGCAGAGTTCTGTGATGCTGCAGTACATCAGTCTTTTGCTCAGAAAAGGATGGAGGAAATGCAAAGGACTATTTCTATTCACTAATTTCCATGGCACCAACATCACTTCATACCTTCAGTCTTTCAGCTTTCTGGACAGTTTGCACCAGAGAACAGCAGAACGGCCTTCTGGGCACTGGAGTAAATGTAAAGGTAACCTACATTCTCTGAACTTGGTCAAATAAAACAGCCTCCATGGTAAAGAGCAGGTCCAGTGCTGCATTTTGCATCCTTGCCATGGCACTCAGAAGGACAAGGTGACCGCAGCATCCCTCTTCATGTTCCCCTGGCATTTTGCAAGCACTCGGTTTAAAAAAAAAATATAAAGAAGTAGCTTACATTGATCTTAAGCTGCAATACACATATGCCTGGAGTGATAGGCACAGCCTCTTATTCTTGATTTTTGCATGAGGTAAGAGTACTTAAGTGGATTAGAGAAGCTTGTTCTGCATTTAGGAAACAAACCTGTCCAGAACGATGGTGTCTGCATGAATTATTAAAAGGAAAGCACATCTTGAAACCCAAATTGGCACACCTTCTGCCTTTCCACATCTATTTTCAATTTGGACTGGAAAGAGAATTATAGCGGGGCGTGAATTTCTCCCAGAATTAGAGGTACTCTCAGTCTCCTGCCACATAAGAATTTCAGATAACAAAAGGTTAAAACCAACTTTTCGAATACAAAAGCATTTACACTAATCTAGGGTCAGAGTTAATTTCACAGTCATGCCTGAATTGCCAGACTTTCCACAGGGCTTCACTCTCTCCTACAGCTTCATTAACAAAAATGGCCACTTACTACAGCACAGCCCCACAGCATCCTCAGGGAGCAACTAGCTCTGCTCTCATCCTCCTGCTGCCACCTGAGAGCTCACTGCTGGCTGACAAGGGGTAAAGGAAACAGAGAGACATGGAGAGGGATGGGGGGAGCAGAACCCTGCAGTGCAGAGCCGCCAGGGCACCAATGGCTCAGGATGGGATCCCAGGGCTCTGCCGCCGGTGGCGGAGCAGCACAGGAAAAGTTTCTGTGATTTTCGGCAAGCCCTCGCGTGACGTCACCCCAGGCAGATAATCTCGGCGCAGTCAGCACAGGCCTCCTGCCTCCCCATTGGCGAGCCCCTCGTCAGCAGACATCTGAAGATAATTATTATTGGCCAGACAATTATAACAGGAACAACTGTCACTCGGTGCCGATGCCCCAACCTGGCGCTCTGCGGCGCGGCGGCACCCGGCTGCCAGCGCTCCCGCCACCCATCTCTGCCACTTCAGCTCCGGCCACTTTCTGCCGCCGCAGTGCCTGCAGCCAGGACGGCAGCGCTGCCGGCACCTTTGCTGCATGCCTGCCTGAGCCCGCAGTCCCCTGCAAAATCCACAATTTACTGACTGAAAGAAATGAAGGGCTACAGCAGCACCTACTCTCATGGAGCAGCTTGGTTAAAGATAATAATATTCCGCAGATTATTTGCTTCATCTCTTTTCAAGGAAGTTTGGGAGGAGGTAATAGAACAGCTTGATCCAAGAATTCATTTTAAGCAATAGTTTTAACAAACTTCTGGATTAATTCTTATCTTGCTGAAATCACAACTCCCACAGCACAAGCACCATAAAATAATGGGGTGCTGCATCTTACATGAAAATCCAGCTATCTGATCACAGATGGTGTAAACAACCACCTTCACACAACACGAGTGCATGTTGCTCCATGGGACCCGATGGATCTAGCAGCTCATTAGCCTCTCCCAAACCTGCTGTTACTGGTGTGGGGTAGGGGACCAGCTCTGCCTCTGAGACTGGTGGCCTCACACCAACCCTGCCGCCATGCAGTAGGGCGGTGGAATGCATGAGCTTGGAAGTACTGGGAATGGATCATTCATTTTCCCTCTGCATTCCAATAGCAGCCTCTGTACAGCATAGCTAATGTAGGCCCATGCTCCAGAAAGCCTTCTCACTGTGGGAGGAGGGTCTTCATAAACTGAAAGAGGAATACCTAGGATGAGGTAAGGAGGCCCTCACTCACTTCTGTCAGATCTCTCAGCTGTCAGGAAGGCTCCATCCACATTAGCCTCACAGGGAACACTTTCAGAGGCAGACTTGGGAGTGAGAACAACCCCAGCACGTACGTGTGCTGAAGGCAATCATGGGTGTTTCCAATGAGTAAGGTGCCAAGTTCCCTGTGACATTCATTTGCCCTGAGGAGCAGCTTGGAGTGGGAGAATGGAGGCAAAAGAGGCTCAGCCCTGGCAAAAGAGAAGCAGCCATGTTGTCTCTTGTACCATCACACATACAGACCAACCACACTGGTACTCAGGGGCATGACACTACCCCAGGACTCTGCGTTCAAGCTCTTCCAGCTTGGCTGGAAAAGTCATAATTAAAAGGACTTGTTAGTATTTAAACAGCCCAAAACCGAGAGGGTATGTAAAGGGATTAATATACTGCCTAAATCTGGTCTGTCCTCATATGCAATCAAGTTGGTCTCCATGGATGTTCCAAACCCAGAAGCTGCTCAACACTTAGAGCCACTTCTTTGCCTCTTACACACTACAGATCTTACTTATTATTATTTTTTGGCCTTGTAAGGCATCGAGAACTATTTCTGAAATGGAAGTAAAATAACAAATGCCACACCTTTGGGACTTGTTTACCCACATTTAATGACTAGTAAGAGCATAAATTCTTGCCACAGACTTCTGGGAAGTCAGACCCCTTAGTTCATCCTCCTGTTAAATAGGAAAAAACAGTATTTATCCCTACTTAATAACTTCATCTCATAGTCAAGATGTGTGCATCCAAGTTCTACCTACTAAGCTGGGAAGGCAAATACTGCCATCAGTGTCAGTGCAGACAAACATTCAGAGTAAACTGATGGGAAGTGGGGAAATCTCCTTGTACAGCCCTTAGCTGCTGTGTTTTATTTGTTAGTCTTTCACCAACATCTCACGTGCTGGAACAGGACCAGTTTCATTAAGTGAGTAAACTTCCATCAGATAAAGATGCGTTAGCTAACTTGAAATCTGGGTATTTTCAAGAAAAGCTTGCTAGGAGAGAGACTGCCGCAGGCACGGCTCCATCTTGTTCCCTGAAATGTCCCTGGGCCAGACTGCTCTTCTCCTTTACTTTCATATGAATCAAACTTATGAATGCATCAGCTCCTTTACAGAGTGAAACTACACTGAGACTCCATGCACATCTGGAGCATCCCATCTCTCGGGCTGCACAGCAGAGCAGAGTCGATGCCTCCTCTGTTGGGCCCACGCAGCGGGGCCTCACGCTGATGAGTCCCAGCTAGCTAACTGCAGCAATCACACAGCCAGGGAGACTTCAGTAACACTGCCTAGCATTTACACAGTGCTTGATGTCTCCCAGGCCCTCAGTAAACAGCATCTCAGCCACCAAAGCACTCCACGAGGTAATTCAGCATTATTACCCCAAGTCTCTGCTGGCTGGGGAAACTGAGGCCCAGGAGAGGTTATGTAATTGTCTCAAGGTCACATAATGAAGAGCAGGAGAACCACGAGGACGACGCAGGAGTCCTGGTTCCCAGTCATGTTCTTTAATCTGAACTGCATCTCCTGTGGCTCATCCAGCTAATGCATATCGCAAACATCACCCCCTCCAACCTCTTTACCAGTCTGTTCTATTCCGATGGCAGTTTTCTTCCAGAATGTGGACAAAATAGGAAGCATCCAACACTCGCAGGCCAAGAGCACCTATATGCTCTCATTTCTCCAGAGACATGAGCAGCATGGGGTACCAACACAAGTTACCCACACTAGCCATTATACAGAGTGCCCACGCGAGTAGTGAGCAATACAGGGTACCCACACAGCTCATCTGCAGGACGACAGGGATACGCAAACCACAAGCTGGTCACTTTGCTTATCCCGCCCTTAAGAAAAGCGCAGACGAGACACGGGAGGATGCCGCAAGCTCCTGCCCGAGCCCTACCAGGTACCCGGCACCTTCCCGCCTCCACGGGCAGGGGCAGCGCTGCCCTCCGTCGCCCCGCAGCTCCCCGGGCTGAGGGGACCGAGGGGCCGCGCAGGACGAGCCCGGGTCCCGGCTAAGGGAGGGCGGCAGCGCGGCGCGCCGCGGGCGAGGCGCGCCCGGCGAGGCCCAGGCGGGCGGCGCGGGCGAGCGGCCGCGACGGGGAGGGGGACCCCGGCCCCAGACTCCCCGCGCCGCCCGCGAAGTTGATAGCGGCGCGGCTGGAAATGAAGTTTGATGAGGGATCCGGGGCGGGGGGAGCGGGGCCGGGGAGCGGCGGGGCCGGGCAGGTAGCGGCGGAGCCCCGTGCCCGCGCACGGCGCCGCGGGGCCGCGCAGCCGGCTGGGCTCAGCGCCGGCACTCACCAGTTCTCCTGCATCCACTGGATGGCCTCATGCTCGTTGAACTGCTTCTCGAATTCGTATTCCTGCAAAGTCAACACGGACATGTTCATTGGCCCGGTGGCTGCGGAGCCGCTCCCCGCGCCTAAATGCCTCCTGCCGCCTCGGGAGCCGGAGATCTCCCGCCTCCGGCCTGGCCGCCCCGCCTCAGCGGTACCCCAGGTTTAGCATAGCTCCGCTCCCCTCCGCGCCTCTCCTCCCGGGCCCGCCGGTCTCCTCCTCTTCTGCAGCCGCCGCGCCGCGCAGCGCCCGGGGGCGGCGCGGTCTTAGTGCCCGCCCGCCGCCGCCGCCGCCGCCGCCCGGGACACCCGCCCCCCGCCGCCCCCCGATCAGCCGGGGAAAGGGGAGCCCCTGACCGTGCTGGCAGCCAAGTACAGAAGCACGGGGTGAGGCTTAGGCAGCAGTGCGCTCCCCAAAACGCCTCACAGCCCCCCGGCCTTTCTGCATCTCCGTTCAGTACACCTGCTGAGGCTGCGGGCCCCGCAGCAGCGCGGTCCCCGTGTTTCACAGCTCGGCCCGGCCCGGCGTGCTGCGGGAGCGCTGGCCTGCAGGAGGGTAGCCCCGCTTAGGGGCCGCTGGAGCATAGATCTTCACTCACACCTAGGGCAGAGACCTGACCCAGGGCCGTCACCTGCTTGGGGTGTACCGACGTATCCTTCATTTCATTTTTCCTGGCACATCTGCCCCGTGCTGTTGTCACCAGCTGAGTTCCTCTGGCTCCAGCAGGGCCAGCACCTTGGCCACGCTTCTCCCAACAATTCAGGCTGAAGGCAGGGCACAGCCCCTGCTAGCTTTGCAGTCTGAAGGCAGCGGGGTTCCCACTTTCATGGATGCCAGACATAAGCAGAGCAGAGCCAGCACAGATCAGCATGCCCGTAGCTTTTGTGGATTTCAGTTCTTCTTGACATGGAAGTGTTTAACATTGTCCAAGCAAAGAAAAAGAAAGAAAAAAAAACCCACAACATGGAGCCCTCAGGATGTGGGATACTAACACCTAACCTGTTTGGTGTTTCTATCTGCATTTTGACCACTATGCTCTTCAGCATCATGTGTTTCAGCTGCTCACACTGAAATTGCAAGGCAGTGCTGAATTATTGTTTATTCTCATTGTACCAGAGGCCCTCAGCAGATCCAGGTCCAGCAGTCTTTCCTCGGAGAGATTGCTGTTTGCATAGACATGATGCAGTAGCTCAGGAACATTCCTCTCCCTGCTTTCCACACAGAGAAGGGCAGCTCAGAGCTTTCCAGAACTGCTTCCTGCAGACACCAGACTGTAGGTGGGGTAGGGTTTTGGCATAGCGGCCTTCCTTCACTTTCCTGCTCCTGGTGACTGCCCCTGAAGCTACTCAGGGTATGAGCAATAGGAAGGCTCCCCGCCATTGTTCAAGGAGCAATGCAGCTCCACAGCAGCTCTCTACTTGCATGACCTGCTCCTGTGCCAGCCTGGCTTCCTGTAGGTTAGCCCCAGCTACGCTACTCCAGCTGAAACATCACCTGGCAGTGCCCTCGTGGCAGCATATGCCTGGGCTTGCTCCAATGGTGGACTCTACTCATGCGTCTGAATGTTATCTTTAGTACAGGGATGTGGAGAAATCCATTCACAATTCAACAAGCACTATTATACATTAACTTGCTTTTGTCGAGCGTGACTCTTGAACAAGTAAACCTGGACACAAGCTTTGAGAGTTCTGTACCTACATTTAGGTGAAGCAATTTGCAGCCAGTCCTTTTTCCTCTGCTGTCCTGGTCCCACGTAGGCTACCTGAATATTCCTCCCACTACATGGCTTACTGGATGGTAACACCTCCACTTACAGCACTTAGAGAAACCTGCATGGACACTGAAAGAGTGTGTAACACCTCCACAGCCTTGCTTCTAGGTGCTTATATAAGTTGCATTTGAGAATAGTAAAATACATAGCCTCTTTTAGGGGAAAACAACTGTTATATAACCATTTTAAAAGTAATTTGTTTAATTCTTACATGAAAGCAGTGAAAGTTGTAAATATCCTTTCATGAGGAAGGGTGGGGTGAGAATGATAAGGTTTCAAAATAACGTCTCCAAAAGACAGGGAGCACAACCTTAGCAAATTTTCTGCCTGCATTCAAGTGTATACCTTTATATTTTTCCTATGGGCTCCTTGTCTCATTCAGTAAGAGGCTAGTTATCAAGCATTAGTGTTTATTCCCCTCATTCAGGATGCCTCTTAAAGCTGTACAGAATGTGTAGCAACTAAACACTGCATTCTATACCAGATAGACAGCAATGCCATTTACATTTTACCCAAGAACATTTGGTTGAATAATGTGAGCAGGTTCATTCAGGGTTTACAAAGAACTGTCTAATCAGGTTGAGCACCTAACCATCATCATTCCTGCTACTAAGCAAATACTTTTTCCTCCCTTGTCACATTGTTAAATTACTACAAAAACCATTAGGCATCATTGCCGTGAGGAGTGATTTTGAATAGTTTGGCATCCCGATGTATAGCTGGATGTTGACTAAACTCTTAGCAGCTGCTGGGAAATGAGACGCTATATTGCTGATAAGTCAACATAAGGTATGGTAAGTGGCAACGAGAGACAACATCGTGATTTAGACATAGCATCAATTACTAAAAGAAATAAAAACTTGAAGGAGGACTGTGTACTGAAAGCTTTTTTTCCATCTGTATCAACTGATGTATTAAAGGGTTTAATTTCTCTCTACAATTTTGGCTGTCTTGAAAGCAAAACAACATACAAATAATGGAAGCCAGAAAAAGAATGAGAGTTCCTATATTCTCCGTAATCTGGAAACAATTCATTAGTGCCCTTGGATGGTGCTAATGGCAGAATGAAGTAGGTAGGCATCTCTGAGACTACTAGCTGGTCCTGACCTGTCCTTCCAAAGAGAATGTTTTCATCAGGTACCAGGGAATAAACAACAAGATGGCCAAGGACCACTTACTGTCAGCCCAAGCTTGTCTATCAGTGAAGACCCACAACTAGGTCGGTCAGTGCCACTGCGCTGTACTGGGGCTGTGCCACAGCCTGAGTGGCTGCTGTGGTGGGCCCGAGCAAATCCCACTAACAAACTGCTGAGCCTGGGCAGCCAGCTGGTAATAAATCTTTAGTCAGCACTAATCAGAATTAAAATGTTGTAAAGGAATTTAAATCTGAATTACTGTGTCATCTTCCAGATCTGTAAAATAAGCCATGTCTCAACATAATCCTATTCTGTTGCACTACAGTAGCCAAAGACTTCAAGTTGATCACATGCTTAAAAACCAACAGAGTGCTCTGAAACCACCTATCTCTAAGATCGCTTGCATTATTCTTAGTGCAGCTCACACCAGATAAAAGGGAAATGACAACGGGCAGGAGTGAAATGCAGCATAAGAGTACAGCTCCCATGGGCAGCTCAGACAAAAACCTGCCCCTCCGCATCACTGGGGCTATGGCTTAGATGGATTAGATAACAGCTCAGCGTGTTTACAAGCAAGATGATGAGAGCATTGCTTTCACATGGTTCATTTCCTCACTCCCTACCCTCAATATTTTCTACACAGCCATGAGCAGCAGAAGCATTTCTCAATTCACGCTTAAGCTTCAGGCCATGGTTCTGTGGCAAGAAGTGGAAAATCTTTTGTGAAGCACTTTTCTGAAGTACACAAAGTCTTGTGCATAAAATGCAATCCAACAGCAAAACCTTCCACATTATAGCCATTTACATATAAAAATTGGTATTTCCCATTTTTCTATATTTTAGCAGCAGTTCTAAGTGTGCCCCAGATGGTATCCATTCATAAACAACAGGCAGGATTTATCTTCCTACATACATTTTCTGGAAGTACATCTGCAGATCTGTAGAGGGTTTCATCCCTACAAGCCAGGGAGAGAACACAACTGAAGGTTTATTTTCTTAACTAGACTCTAGGGTTTGATCCCATCAGTAAAACAGAGAAAATGAATTCATTTTCCCTGCTGAGAGGTCAACAAAATGATCTATTTTTTAAGGGAAGGAGGCAGAAGAGAGAAGTGAAAGGCAAAAAGCTCACACAAGCACACGAGTTGGATACCTACGCTGACCACTCAAACCTGCATACTGAGATCACACTGCAGGTCTATGGCAGAAGATGGAAGATGAGACAGGCTTTGTGGTACTTGATGTTGGATGTTAATACATATATTTGCTTAACAGTCCTATATACTACCTTTTAAATGTATTAGGGTAAGAACAGGAGGTGTGGTTGAAACAATGAGATCTGTGCAACCACGTTGCTCTTATACTGCAGTATGAAAGAATCACAGGAGCAGAAAGTGGTGCTTCAAGTGATCAATGATGTTATTTTGGGTGTGCATCTGTGGGTGGGTATGTGTTTATTTTGGGTGATGTGGAGAGATAAGGCAGTAAAGAGCATGTATACATCAGCCTTAACTCTCCATACTTTTTTGCACTTCTGGAAAACCTGTTTCTGTATACTTCAGGATCCTTGAAAGAGAGCAAAAGCCTGACTGTTGCTTTGATGAAGTGGCTGCATATGAAAATACTGGGCATCCTGAGAATCTTGTGGTTGGATTTTGTCTTCGTGGTTTCAGCCTTTAGGACAGAGCTTATCTGCCAGCAGTGGTTAGGAAAGTGTAATTAGACAGGCTTAGGCTTTTCACCTGCTTTTGCTCTGTGCAGGTTTATCTGCTTCCAGAGCCAGTAAACTGATAACACTATCTCTCCTGAACAAACAAGTTCCCTACTCTCACTTGCCTAAAAACCTTAATATGTAACAGTGGTATTGCCAAACTGCTCACAGGCTCCATCCGAGCCATCACAGCTTGTAGTACCTATAGATCTTCAGTTTGCTATAGAATTTTGAGGGGCCAGCTTGCAACGGCTCTGGAAAGTCCTGCTGAATTCAGCAGGGATAAGCTGTGTTGCAGTGCTTGCTGTCCTGAGGCAATAGAAGCAACAATAGCATTAGGAAGCCATACTCAGCCCACTCGCTGCCCATTAGAAGATGAGAGCCACCACTTGAAATCCCACAGCAGGAAAGCAATAACAGGATTAAATCCTGTTAATTACTATTTATCTATTATGATTAATATCACTATTACTTATCACTGTTATTAAATAAAATATACATGTGCTATGCAAATCCCACGCACGGGCTGTTATGAAGGATAGGGCTCAATCATCAGTCATGCTGCATAATCTCTCTGATGGTGCCAGTGAGACCATACAGGT